CTAGCTTCATTCGTTGTGGTTGGAAAAGATACTTTGTTGATTTAAGTCTTTTATAATTTATTGAAACTTGTTTCATGGCCTAACATATGAACTATGCTAGAGAATGTTCCATGTGTGTTTAAGTAAAATGTATATTCTGCTGTCATTGGGTGGAGTGTCTTGTATAAGTCAGTCAGGTCTAGTTGGTGTATAGTGTTGTTCTCTACTTCTTATTCACCTTTGTTTAGTTGTTCTATCTGTCATTGAAAGTGAGGTATTGAAGTCTCCAACTATTATTGTAAAACTGTCTATTTCTCCCTTTGATCTGTTAGTTTTTGCTTCATGTATTTTGGGGCTCTGCTGTTAGTTGTGCTTATGCTTATAGTCATCATAACATCTTGGTAGATTAACTCTTTTACCAATACGTAATATAATGAAAAAAAATGTGCGATCAGCGTGAGATGTCTTGTAATGTTTTTTTTTTTTGCCTTAGTGTCTATTTTGCCTGGCACTAGTATAACCGTTTCAGGTCTCTTTTGGTTGCCATTTGATTGGAGCATCTTTTCACTTGCAACCTATTTGTATCTTTGGTTCTAAAGTGAGTCTCTTGTAGACAACGTGTTTATTATTTTTTAAAAAATATATTTTGTCAATCTCTACCTTTTTAGTTCTGTATCAGAGCCCAGTGGCAGGAGAACAGAAAGAGAAAAATGAGTGCGGTTCACCCCTGCCTTTCAAAGCCAGCACTCCTTCACTTGGCGAGACATGCTTCCCTCTCTTCGGGCTTTAAAGATCTTCAGCCTTCATGGCCTGGAGCATGAGAGCATGGAGAATAAGTGGGATGTTCTCTAGCCTCCCTGAATATTTGAGGTTTCCTTACCTAGGTCTTGAGAGACAGAGCCGAGGAGCCTGCTTCCAGATTTCGGGGTCCCCTGTGTATAGAGGGAATCATAGAAGTGTTCCCAAAGCAGAAAGTGCTCAGAGTATGAAATGGAATGATCTCATTTGGAAAGGCAGAGTTAAAAAATCAGCTGGTGCGCAGTTGGTGGGGTTTTTGGTTCCAGTGACCAGAGCCTGACTCCTGGAAGCACCAGATTGCAAATGCAGCAAGAGCTTAGGCCCGAGAGAGGTGGGCAAGTGGAGCGGAGAGCAGTGGACAAAGCTGGAAAACTGTAGAGCCACATCGTTGGGAAAATATGGACCAGAAAAGCCATCTTCCGGCAGTTCAGGGAGGTGACAAGGCTCCTGTTTGTCTGCTTTGACTCAGGTGGGAAAAATTCCCCTAAGAAATGGAAACCTATTCTTGATTTGGGATTGGGGCTTGAATTCATACTGCTAGGAACTCCCAGACTAAGTTAATCTAAAATGGGGATCCAGGCAAGAGGTACCCCTGGAGTACCTGGTAAGAGTACTTACTCAGGAAGGGTACCCACCCCCCACCCTAGGACATACAGAATTTCCATCCAATAAAGAAACCCTGCTAAAGACGCTGTCACAACAAAAATGTATCTGAGGATCAGAGAAAGAATCCAAAATAAACTAGTCAAAAGTTCCAGAAAAGATCAGGATGGGTGCCAGGAACTTTAGATGGTAGAACAACAATATGAAAGAATATCTAAAATAAGCACAAATGA